AAGGAGAAAATTCCATAAGGTACTCCTAAAATTCTAATGTGTCAGCTGATCAAGAGTACCCTGTAAGGGATCTGGGGATTTAGCTCAGCGGCATAAGCACCTGCCTTGCAAGCAGGCGGTCATAAGTTCGATCCCCGGTACCAGTTAAAAAAAAAAAAAAAAGAGTACCCTGTAATGAGTATCTTAGTCAACTTTCCATTGTTATAACAAAATATCTAGGATAACCAACTTAAAAGGAAGAAAGCTTACTTTGGCAGAGTTTTCAGTTCATGATCACTTGGCCTTGTTGCTCTGGGCCAGTGGCAATATAGTACTTCATGGCACGAATATGTGGTGGAGAAATGGTTAATTTCATAGCAGCAGGAAATAGGGGAGCAGGGGCCAGGGTCCCACGGTCCCTCAGAGCCTAACTATTTTTCATGGGGCTCTACCTTTTAAAGATACCACCATATCCCAGTAGGATAGGTAGGTGACCAAGCCTTTACCATGAGAGGATATTTTAAAATCTAAACACTGACATTGAAATATTGACTCCCATGGGTCTCTCTGTAGGGTCTTTGTCCCGCCATTGGATCAGAGTGTACCCTGTGCATTGCTTTGTGCTGATTTATGTCACTTATGTCTGGAGAATTGAACAGTTTAGTGAACTAAGCTCAACTCCAGTGGGCAATGATGGAGTCATAAGGAGGTGGGCAAGTTAAGCAGGTTGAAGCTTTTTTGCAGATGTATTTTTGGGCCAAATGTCAATCACAGCTTTGCACACAAATAGACAAATTGGAACTCAAAAGCACTTTTACCTGTGTTGAATTTGTGATCATTTCAAATTCACAGCAGGAGGCTCTGAAACCAAGTCAGGTCTCCCAGTGTGGGTAGCTACTCTCAGTGTGGGCCCCCAGAATTGAGTAGGGAGAGGAGACTTTCTCTTCGGCTTGGGGGTGTACCAACAATGTACTGCTTGCTGCTGCCACCTCGTTATCTTCCCTCAGCACCTCCAGCTTTCTCAGAAAGCAGCCAAGCAGAGTCCAGCAATATAGAGTGCTGGTGATTATTTGAGAAGGCACATATTTCATTTAGGCCAGATTGCCATTATCAATCTAGATAATTTTTCTGACTCCTGAAATAGACTTGGCCCACCGGGCAGGGTGTTTGCTTATGACATAGCAGTGGGGGGCAGGAGTGGCTGACTCTGTCCATTGCATTTTAGACTGAGGGTGCAGTCTTGAGGAAGACCTTTATTATTTAGATGTCAGGAAGAACTCATTGGAGTGGTGCAAAGCTTTATTATTATTATTATCATTCTTTGTATATATCTGCAGTACATGATTTTGTTCCTCATGAGGAGTTGGTACACGTATGTATGTAACACATTTTAACTCTTCTTTCAAACCTTTTCCCTCCCCTCCCTCTTTTTCCCTCCATCTCTTTCCCAGTTGCAAAAGGTTTATGTCCTTATTTCCTATTATCTTCTTTTACTTTGCCCTTATTTATATTTTGGATTTCTCATATAAGAAAAACCATGTGATATTTAAGCTTATGTGTCTGATTTATTTCACTTAATCTTATGGTCTCAAGCTGCATCCATTGTCCTACAGATGACTCCACTTTATCCTTCTTTATGGCATAACAGTCTTTGATTGTATATAAATACCACATTTTCTTTATCCATTCATCAGTTGGTGAGTATATGGACTACTTCCAAGATTTAACTATTATGAGTTCTATAAACATGTATGCATGTATCACTGTGATCATGATGACTTTTACTCTTTTGGGAAAGTACTAGAAGAGAAGATGTGTATCAAATAGAATTTCTGTCTTTAGGTTTTTTGAGGATTCTCCATACTGATTTTCATAGTGGTTGTACTAGTTTACATTCCCATCAACAATATAGAAGGATTGCTTCTCCCCCACAGGCTCACCAGAATTATGCTTGTTATTATTTGATTTCTTGACAATAGCCATTCTTTCTGTAGTAAGATGGAACCTTAGTGTTGTTTTAATTTGCATTTGTATAATGGCCAGCGCTTTTTGTCTGGATTCCATTTGGAAGGTTGCTTTAGTGAGCTATGTGTTCAAGTCTCAGGATCCTCAGCTATTGAGTAGGAGCAGTAGCCCCACACTCCCAGGGGTGTGAGAAAATGAGATGTTACCATATGAGAGTGAAGGGAAATTTCCTCTCTCTCTCTCTCTCTCTCTCTCTCTCTCTCTCTCTCTCTCTCTGCAGGTTCATGGGAATAGGCGGATAAAGGCAGATTAAATAGGAGAAAAGACAAATTTGTTGACCTGCAAAAGAATAAAATGACAACACAGGACTCTGATTAACCACTAACACCAAATGACTGAGAAATGTATATACCTCTCTAGGGGAGAGACCAGGAGTAGGGTTGGGGAATGTGAATAATTTTGAAGGTTTGAAAATGATTTTTAGGAGAAACTGGTGGGTTTGAAGAACATACAGTAGCCTGAGACAACATTTTTCTGGCCTGCAGAACAGACAGTGGTTTGTAAATGATTCCCTTTGGAATATTGACCAGCATGTAAACAGAAAACAGTGGTATGTGAGAAACGTCTGTGCAGGTGTGCTGACAGACTTCAGTCTCTCTTCCTGCAGTGTGAGTTTAGTGAGTGAAAGTTTGGGAAAGGGACCAGAGGTCATTACTTCCTTCCTTCCAGAGTTTAAGCGGTCAAGGGAAGCCTCTTTCAGCATCTGTCACTCTCCAAGGTCCTTTAATTTAAAGCAGTCAGCTCACGAGGGCATGTTGCTTTTTAGGGTGACAGTCCCTGGGCCCCTACAGTGTCCCAGTTTCTCCTTTCTGCTGTATAACTGTCTCTCTCCATCTAGTCACTCTTGAAATGTCATGAGGCTGTACCTCACGTCACTGTAGCAATGTTTCCCAAATCCATTCCTTACAGCCAACTCTAAATCTGCAGAATGATGTCCTACTCACTGATCAGAGAGGAAGCGTTAAGAGAAAAACTGAATGATTTATTCATTTAACCAGTACTTTTGAATATCTGTTATATGCTAGGCCCTCTACAGGGTCCTGAAGATACAAAGATGAGTAACTAAAGCCCTCAAGGAGGTCATATTCGGTTGTCAAAGACGGGTATAAATGTTCAACATTACTGGTCATTTGAGAAATGCAAATTCAAACAAGACTGAGATTCTACCTCATTCCAGAAAGAATGGCTATCATTAAGAAATCAACCAATAACAAAATGCTGGAGGGGCTGTGGGGAAAAAGGAACCCTTTTCCACTGGGGTGGGTGTGTAGACTGGTACAACCAACATGGAAATTCAGTGTGGAGATTTCTTTAAAAACTAGAATTGGAGGTCCTGTTTGACCCACCTCTTCCCTTTCTGGGTATTTTCCAGAAGCATTAAAAATGTCATACAACAGCAATATATGTGCACGCATGTTTATAGCAACACAATTTGTAATAGCTAAATCTTGGAAGCAACCCAAATACTTATCAACCAAAGAATGGATAAAATGGTGTTGTCTTTTTATACAATGGAGTACTACTCAGCCATAAAAAAGTATAAACTTGAGGATTTTGTAGGTAAGTGGATGCAACTAGAGACCATACTCTAAGTGAAATAAATCAGACTTACGTGTGTAAACATCATATTGTCTCCCTCATGTGAGAAGCTGAAAGAAATAATATAGGTAGTTAAGATAGTTATACTACTAATTTCTCTTAATTCATTGTAAAGGAAGGTTGTGCTAATATTGTTTGGATAAATAAATGCTAAATATCTTGTATTCTGAGTAACTAATTTAAAGATAACATGCAACGTATTAACCATTGTTACCCTCTAATTGTCTTGTTTTGAAAATTAGTTTTCTTTTTCTCTTTTAAAAAAGACAGATATATACACCTGTGGCCATCAATGTAAATGAAACAGATAGCAGAGAAATGATGAGGGAGACAGAGTAATAAAAGGACCTCCTTCTGCTTGGGATGTTTGTTGCAGGGTAGAATTAGAATGGAAGAGCAATTTGAGACAGGCTTGAATTAAGACAAGGAATTGAGAACCATCATAGTATGTTTGGAGATCTTTATGCAAGTTGATGTTGCTAGAGTGGGGTGGGATGCAGCTGGAGAGACGGGAAGGGGCTGGATAAAAGGCCACATGTGCCATGTGAAAGAGCTTTGGCTTTATTCCTTAGGCCAGCAGCTCTCCAGGGATGGAGATAAGAGGGATAGGCATGCACGTTTGGAACCACTGCACAGTTGAGCATCCTTGGATGGGAAGACCTCCTTCATATAGAAGATGGGCTGGAGATCTTGAGGCCTGAAGCTCTCTTAGGGAGATCTGTAACAGCTTAGGGAGAATAAGGAAATAGAGAAATGGATGGGTTTAGAATTTAAGGCTTGGCTGATTAGAGAAAAGAAGAGGGAAAAAGCAGGAGCCACCTATGAGCAGGGTTCTGCATTTTCTATTTGGGGCACTTGCTCATGTCTCTCCTCTTGAGGGAGAATTTTTCTGACCTCTGGCTCAAATTTTGTATTGGTCCTTCCCTCTATTCACACCAACCTATTTTGTGTTGTTCTTAAGTTTGTTCTGCTTTCCTTAATAAATGAAATCTTTTAAAATGCAGAGACTGGATTGTATGCCTTTTTATTTTTTGAGATTTTTTTAATGCATAATAATATTGAGTCTTTTAAGAATTTCTTCTACTTTTCTGTTATTTTCTTCCACGAGAGGAACAATTAAATACAAATGTCAAATGAAAAGTGTCCTCCATCCAGAAGGAATATCTTAGTTATTTGTGAGTCTAAATAGGCATTTAGAAAATCAAGTATACAGCAGAATCATCCCAAAGAAATATAAGAGGTTGGAGTTTCAGAAGAATAGGCTAGATTTTGTTGTTGTTGTTGTTTTATTTTGGAAACAGTTTACTTATAAAGGCTTCTTGGTGGATTGGCAGTGATTTGCTATCCGCTCTGCGGTAGAATTGCACTGAATACTTTGTGTCTGATTCCACAATCAGGTCCAGAGTCCAGTGCCCATTGTGAACTGTCGCCTGTCAATGCCTCCCACCCCGTCCAGGCCTTGATGGAGAGCTTCACTGTCCTGTCGGGCTGTGCCAGCAGAGGCACCACCGGGCTGCCGCAGGAGGTACACGTCCTGAACCTCCGCACCGATGAGAAGGGCTCTGAGCAGCCACAGAGGGAGGTAGGTATGGGTGTCAGCCTTTAGTCCTTACCCCTGAGTCTACAAAGATTTTCTTCAGAAAAGCATCTCTGCTGGACTCAACAAGGATTCTCATGAACAAATACAGGATGAGGCAAGAGTTAAAATATGGATTATTCTCTGACCTGGGCAGCTTTAAGACTTCTGTCTCTAGAGGGATTGCTTACCTCTTCCCATTTTCTGACCCTCTGCCTGCGAAGAATTTAAGAACTTCATTATCTAACATGATTGTGAGAAAACTATAGGGTATCTGTAACTGTAAGGTATCTTCCAAACTTTACCTGGACCTCTCTGTTGTCTTTTCCGCTTTGCCTTGTTAGCCTGTTGCTCCTGCAGCATGCAAGAGGAAATGAGATCACTCTGAAGTACAGATGGCAATGTTTGTACCTCCATGAAATCCTCCGTGGTAGCTCCCTGGTGCCGTCCAGGTAGATTCTTGGAAGATGCCAGTGGGCTTAGTAGTGGTAGTGAGGAGGAGGAGGATGCCAGCTCATAGCTACTTGGTATTTGCTCTTGGCTAGCACGTCATGATTCACTCATAATCTACCTATGAGGTCCTGTCATTTTACAGGTGATGAAACAGGTGCAGAGATAACTTATTTGGCCAAAGTTGTGACTCTCAGAAAGAAATGAACTCCCTTTTCTTGTATCTCTAAAATGGTCATCATCTAAAATGGCTTCTTTAAGGGGGTAAATTTTCCTACAAAATAACATACAGTTGTCATTCTGTTTTTTTTTTTTTTTGCGCCAGTGTATCATAAATGTTAATCACTCAGACATTTTTTCTAGGGGGAAAAGAACGTACAGTAAATCCTGACCACACTGAAGTATGGGAAAACTGATGAAGAATGAAATTTATCTTTTAGGTTTCTCCTAGTGAAGAAAATAAATTTCCAGAGCCATTTGTTCATGTGCCTCCACCAGCCTGTCTTTTAGGGAGAGCAGGAAAAGGAGAGGCATGAGGCAGCCAGAAGGAAAAGCAAATGGAGTTTAATCTCATGAAAGTGTGCAGAATTGGCTCATTTCAAAGACAGATCATCTAACCTTTCTAGCTCCACTGGAAATTATTGTTAATACTCTTGGTTGCTTGCCATTGTTGCTGCAACACATATTTCAGGTCAGATTTCTTTATCCCCATAATGCATCTTTAATTCTTAACTTACGGGGGAGAGTTTGTGGTGGGAGGGAAGGGAGAAGAGGAGGAAATGCAGTTCCTACGAGGCGTTGCTGACTCCAGCAGTTCTTTAGCAGCAATAATTACTCATTTTATATATGCTTTTCTCCGAGGAACTGGGAAGGAAAAGAAAGTCCAGGCCATTACAGAAGCAGCATCAGCCCCACATTCTTGATGTTAAATTGTGCGACACTGTTGTTGACTCAGAAAATAAATTCAGTAAGACTACTGGAGGAAAAGAGAAATACCTTAAGCAAGGATAGTAGAACTCTAGAGCCTAGTTTAAGAGATGGCAGTGCTAGAGATGCATAAAATGAGCTGGCATCACAGGATGTAATGTGTTCAGGGAGAAGGAAAGAAAGAAGGCCTGTGGACGATGTCTCAAAGTTGTTTGAAAACTGGAAGTTGTTCTCCTTCAGTGTCTGTAGTGTATGTACACTTGGAACTATGGACCTGAAGGCATTTCTGAAAATAGGCAACTAAGGGAAATTGCACTATTTCTTTTTTCAAGGACCTTTGAGGATTAGGTGGTTGCAGCTCGATCTTATTTGAGAAGATGATTGCGATAACTGATCTTTGGAAATTCCACGTGGCTCTGATGCGCTCTCATACTTAGAACTCAGAGTACTTTGCATATGTAGAGTAAATGTGGAGAGTGACATCAGGCAAGGAGAGCATAAGAGGGAGAGTTTGGTGGTGGGTGGTAAGATGGGGCTAGAAAAGAGTTGCATGCTCCTGACTTTCTCCATCACTGAGTGTGCGGAGACAGCACTGCAGGTATATAAATAACTTTGAAAAATCACTTGAGCCATGTAACCCAATGATTCTATTCCTGCATATGCGCCAAGAGAAACAACATAGATCCCACTCTGTAACCTGTCTGTGAATGTTCATATCATATTATTCATTATATTCAGAAAGTGGGAACAGTATGACTTTTATCCTCTGATGAATGGATAAATAAAATGTAGTATATCCATACAGTGGAATGTTATTTGGCAATAAAAAAGAATGGAGTGCTGACATGTGCTGTACTATGAATGAACTTTAAACATACTATGCTAAGTAAAGGGTGGATGTAACAAACTGTGTTACATAGTTTCACTAAATGGAATATCCAGAATACACAGATTTATGGAGACAAAGTAGATGAGTATTTGCTTAGGTGAGGGAAAGGAGGAAGTAGGGGTTGACTGCTAATGGTTATAGTTATTTTGGGGTGGGAGGTAAAAGTGTTCAAAAGTTAAATTATGATAACATAAACAATCCTGTGAATAATTAAAAAGTGTCCCAATCATGAAGGGGTACATTTGATGGGATATGAATCTATCTTAATAAAGATACTAAAAATTCATGATACCTGCTAACATTGTAATTAACCCATAAAGTTTACCTTTGTCAGTTTACTTTTAAAAAAATACTAAAATTGCTTCCTTCGATAGTCTAAACTCACCCAACTCTTTGTTATTCTCAATGGATAACTTATTTTTATAGATGTGACATATGGGCTATGTTGGAAATAACAGCTGATCTGTTTGGGAGGGGTATTAATGGGAGGGTCTGGGGCAGTTATTTTTCAAAATGAAATATGTACCATTTCTTACAAATTAGTAGAAGAATTACCATGCTGGCTACAGGCCACACTTGACCTTGACTCTAATGATTACAACAGTTCCGTTTCATAGTGTCATCCTTGAATGTGAAGGAATTACTAAATCAGCCCCATTTCCCCTCTGCCTGTCAGGAGTGCAGGACCAGTGGCCAGATTTGTGATAAATCCCCTTCTCTCGCATGTTACTAAACTCCTACCTTGTAGGTGCCTTAATGTTCTGCAGCTGAGGAAAAGTTTCTTGTTTCCCTGAGTAGAAGAGGTGACAGAGCCTACCTGGAGGGAGTAGCTGCAGTAGGTTGATAAGATTTGGGGAAATAGTTACACTTAAGTTGTACAGATGATTGTACTGGCTGGCAGAAGGTTCATACCAGAAACATGCTTGATACGGCAATGTCTTGAAACCCTCGGTACCAAAGCACCACTCTCTTCCTGGCCTCCCTGCTGGGTTCTCATCAGGACAATGAGAGTTAGAGTTGTATTTTTCATGTGAGATCCCGCCTCTCATTTGTAATCATTGGTTTTGGAAACAACAGCCCTAGACGTGAACAGGAAATTAGAAAAAGACTCTCAGGCAGAAGCGGACAGAATAGGGTAAACAGCCCTGATAGATTGGATTTGTCTTTTAGAATAAGTAAAACAGTATACAATCTAGTTCCGTGTGCCCTTTGGCTATAGTAAAATATGCTCCTTCCAAATTCAGCCTCTCCCCTGATTCTTGATTCCTGAGAAGGGTTTTAACATCATCAGAGCCTTGTTTACAGAAACATGCTTTCATTAGTTGCTGGAATGGCAACAATTTTGCTTCTTATCTTCCAGTTTTTACTTGTGATCTGCTTTTATGTGGTAGTCTGGGTCTTTTCTATTTCCATCCTGCCTAAGTGCTTTTATTATAAAAACTGCTAGAAGCCCCTAGTTAGCTATTTCACACATACGGGAAAGACATGGGCTTTTACATTTATGTATTTGTTCTGCCACCAAAGGAGGGATTGTTCATGGGTGTGCCGCTGCATGGGGCTGTAGGGTGGAGTGAGAATTGGGAGGCTCCAGTGACATGGGAAAGGAGCCAGGCTTAATAACTTCACCCATCAGAAAGTCCATGCCTTCCATGATTTTATATGTTTGCTTCTCTGCTTCCTCCCAGAAAAAGATTTGAGATGGATTCCAGCAACAAACATACCAACAATGTAAGCAGATGTACGACAAAACAAGAACCAAAAGAGAAGAGTGTAGTTTGTTGGCTGTGTGGATGAGTGTGGTTGCTATGATTGAGTTTGAAATTTGGCTTCAAGCTTTTTGGCAGGCATGGCCAAATGGGATGTGTGGTTAATCACACATGTGGCTCTAAATCACTTGGAATTTGTACCTTCTTTGAGGACTGTGGCATGAACTTGTTCCTTTCTTGGTTCTTTTGAGGACAGGAAAAGACCACAACTGGGAGAAAGAGAAGGAAGTAAGCACAAATAAATGTTATTTTTTTTTTTTAAAGCACCTCTTTATTCTCCACGTAACAGTGACAGCAGCCCCTGTGGTGGAGATTATGTGCCTGTTGTGGGCCACCCCATGCCGGGCACTTGTGTTACTTCTGCCAGTCCTTAGCACCCTGAAAAGCAAGTCACACTGTTAGCAAGGAGGGCCTGGGAGGTGGTGTGTCACGGAGCCAGCCTCTAGTGGTTTGTGTTGAGGATGCAGTTCAAGTTTTTTCTGCACCTCAAGGTGGCCTCTCTTTTACTTTGTTTCAGGCTGCAGACTTCCTTGAGCCAGCTCAGCCCTATAAGTTGGCTGAGCCAGCAGGTCTCAGGGATGGCTTGTGCATAGCCCCAGCTCTTTCCAGTTTTTGGTGTCCTTTCCTATTCTTCTGGGGTCTTCAGAGCATATCAAGGTTGGGCTGTGTGTGACACTGTCGTTTTTTTCCTTTCCTTGGTTTAGGATTATCGTACCAAGTGTCAGTAATTATAAAATGCAGGGCTGAACTCAAGAGCCATTGATCTCTGTTTGGCTGCTAATCACCACACTAAATACCTCCACCAAGAGGATGTTTGTCTGTTTTCATAGTTAATCATTTCCATAACACTTTCAGCAGCCTTCACAGTAACTCACCTGTCCTCTACCTATAACCCAGAACTTCTTTTAACCAAACTTGATTTAACTGTGGAAGGAGGAACTGGTGCATTGAGAGATCTCCTACTGAGAATGAAG